TAGGGATCTCAGATAACATCTCAATACCTGGAACTAGCCAAGTCTGGTTGGCACTAAGAGTTTACAGGAGGTAAAGGGCTTCAAAGTGAAAACTAGAAAGGACGTAGTGGACAGGTCATACAACTCCCTAAAAGTAAGTTTTGACTTTTCCTGTGATCAACAGATTGCTAACTCAAAATAACCCATGATCTGGAGAGGCGATTGTATTAGAGCTTAAATTCTAAGTACTAGATTTGCAGAAGGCTATAGCTAGCAGTGAAAGCCCAAAATTCATTTGTAGGTGCATTCAGTGGAGGTATATTAAACCTCCATTGAATTCCATCTATTAACCAGGAATGTGAAAAATCTTGCCCTTATGCAGAGTGCATTAGAAAGTGGATTACCTCCACCCACTAACCAGCTAAGAGAGAAGCAGTGTACGTAAGGGCTCGCCTGGGTTGCATCCGTGATGGAGATCACCATACTGGGGTTGTACAGTCAAGTCTGTAAGCTCTTGTAAGTTCTTCTGTCTAATGTAATGTACATATCCCAATCATGGTGCCTTTTCCACTTCTCTAGTCCCACCTGTAACTGTGATTTATTTATCTGTCATTAATCATGCTTTCTCCAAGTTTTCTTTGCTCTCCCATGCCCTTTTTAAGTCTACAAATCTCTGCAAACCGTTGGGGGAAATGATGGCTTGATGCTAATGATCTACCTCATCTAGATGGTGTGTCTTTGTCTTCTCTTCTATTGTTAAAGACTTAATAAATGCTCTCCCTAAATTAACTTTGAGATTTAGGGCCTCTTTTGTGCCCTACAACAAAAAGTTACAGGGTTTTGTTAAATGATAACCTTAAGCATTAGTACATTTATTTATTGCATCCTAAGATTGTTACATGTTGAAATTTGTTTAATATAGCATTCTGTCAGTAAGAATTAAGTCAATTTTTAGTCATAGCTGCAAACCTGCTGTTTCCCTTATCTTTAAAAGGCTCTTGCTACTGAGGGAGTGCAGCGGAACAGCAGGGGAGGTCAGTAGCAAGATCCCCAGGGAATGATGAGGGTGGACATTGGAGACAGGGCATGGTGCCCCAACAGGCTAGACTGGAAAACACAAGCTTTTCTTGCTTGTTATATTTTAATTTGTTCTT